AAAGTATAATACTATATAATAAAAGGCTAATATGCAAACAGACCGAAGAGCAGAACAACTGATTGCTATGACGAGCACTGATCACCAGGGGGTGCGCGCTGGAACAAGGCGAGAATGAGGCAGAGTGCAGAACGTGGCAGTCATCAGCTGCAGTGGGATGGTGGAGCAGGTAAGTGGGGGCGCCAGGCCAAGGTAGGTGCCGATTGCTGTCACTGGGGCGGGCCTCTGCTGGTTACTGAAAATTCTTTGCTCCCATGCACCGCGCTCCCACCTGGCGCTTTCACCTGCTGCGAGCGCCAGAGCCACTGCTCACACACGCTATTGGTGCCCAGCGCTGGCTCTGATCCTCAGTGCTGTCAGCAGGTGCAAGCAGCGGTTGCCAGCCTCTATTGCCCCTCAGAGCTTCTCCACCTCCCCCTGCTCCTGAGCGGCAATCGGAGTTGACAATCACCTCTCACACCTGCTGCCGGTGATGGCCCCGTTTGCACTCACTGCCAGTCCCAGCCCCACTGGCACCGCACCATCAGTCAGTGGGTGCAAACAGGGCCAGCACCATCAGCATGTGGGAGTGGCAGTGGCGGGAGTGGGGCTGCCAGCAGACAGGGAGCCAGGGGCCGCGGTGGGAGGGGCTGGGCGGGAGTGCAGAGGATGGGCCAAGGCCCGCCCCTGTGCCCACTGCAGCCTCATGGCCCAGAGTTCCTTTCAAGGTGCACGAATTCCTGCACTGGGCCCCTAGTACAATGATAAACAATTTGCCAAAAACTCAACATATAAAAATCAATCATTCTGCTACTGCTAGCATGTGTCTAGGACAGTGATGGTGAACCTTTTGAGCTCGGCATGTCAGCATTTTGAAAAACCCTAACTTAACTCTAGTGCTGTGTCACATGTAGAAATTTTTTGATATTTGCAACTATAGTAAAACAAAGACTTATATTTTTGATATTTATTTTATATATTTAAATGCCATTTAACAAAAATCAACCAAAAAAAATGAGTTCGTGTGTCACCTGACACGCATATCATAGGTTCACCACCACTGGTCAAGGACTTAGTTTTTCCTCTTAAGAGTTAGAAAAGAGGGAGAACCAAGATGGCGGCATAGGTTAACGCCAGAGATTGCTGCTTCGAACAACCAATTCTAATTATGCCTGAAACACGGAACGGACACCGTCCAGAACCACAGGAGGACTGGCTGGCTGAGTGGAAATTCTACAACTAGGAGTAAAGAGAATATCATACCCAGACTCAGAGGAGGCGCAGTGCTGAAGTGAAATTCTCAG